TTCTCAAAATTGGGAAAGATTTTCAGGAGATATAGGGTGTCCCAAAAATGCATAAACACACTTTAATAGTTATAAAGGCAGTGTTTATTAAAATACATTTTATTTTCAACATTGAACTATCAGCTGTTAAAGTGTATATACATTTTTTGGGACATCCTTGTATTATTAAGCAAAAAAATGAAGTACACATACTATACATAGAATGCTACCTTTTATTTATGAAATAGAAGAAACAAGGAAATAATAAATATATAATCATATTTATTTTTATTTATACATACAAATTCCAAAATATAAAGAAGAATAAAAAGATGTGGGTATTCATATCAGGCAGATTGGAGATGGAATAGACCGGGGCAGGGTATGAATAAAGTTTCTTAAAGTTTATTTGACCATGTAAATGTTAGTCATAATTAAAAACATATTTTTTAGAAACGAGACTGGTGAGATGGGTGGTTGAAATTTACAGCAGAGAAGATAAGATCCAGGGACACTCTCATAATTATGTGCTTCTTAACAATAGAGTTTGCATTTCATTTATGTGTTCTTTCCATAGCATCTTCAATAATTGTCACATAGAATACTATCAATTGAATATTTTCTTATCAAATGAACAAATTAATGAATACACGAATGATATGACATGAGCTGCTATCTCATCAAATGTACTAATGACTCTTATGTCAAAAGGGATTAGCCCTGTTTCAGTTCTCTGTGATCAAAGTAGAATGAATGAATGAATGAATGAATGAGTGACAGATGCAAGAAGGGAAAAAAAAGTTTGTTCTTTCAACTAGTATTTTAAAAAGATTATTTTGTAGCAGGTACTGGGATTATCAAATGGAATCAAACAAGGCTTAAACTTTCAAGAGGTTCACAGTTTTGAATCAGGGTGTCAGGCACAGAGATAATCATAGTGTAATGGAACAGTCGGAAGTTTGGAGAGTGCTGAACAAACCTGGGATGAAGGTGTATGTGTAGATTTGAGTGGCCATAGCTTTTTCCTGGAGAATGGCATATTTGAGCTCAATTTGAAAATAAAGAAGGGAAAGGAACAGGGGGAAAGAAGGGCTAATCCAAAGTGAGGGAGGGCAAGAGCAGAGCAGAGATTCAGGCGAGAGGAGATGTTGTGAGGAACATCAAGCGTATCCTCTAGGTGGTAGCATTGAGGTCAGAGCAGCACTGCAACCCTGAGCTCAGTATCAGATGTTTCCAGCAGGCTGCCTGATATGAAGAGGGAATGGGCCTTTCACATTCCAGCCCAGGCTGGCTGCCTGACTATGGCACATCGCTGTGGAGAATAAAAGGGAATGCAGACTTAAGAATCTATATACATAAGGAAAAAACATTTAATTTAAAATACAATTGTCCCTCCCCCGCCCATTTGCAATTTCACTTTCCATTGTTTCTGTTACCCACAATCAACCAAAGACTGAAAATATTAAATAGAGACTGCCAGAAATGAACAATTCATAGGTTCTAAATTATGTGCCATTCTGAGTAGTGTGATAAAATCTCATGGTCTCAGGATTTCCCTGGCCCAACCTAGGACTTGAGTCAGCGTATCCACGCTGTAAATGTTCCTGCCCATTCATTACCAGCTTGGTTATCAGATCTACTGTACTGTCGTGGTCTCTTAGTGCTTGTGTGCAAGCCACCCTTATTTTACTTGATAATGGCCCCAAAGCTCAAGAGTAGTGATGCTGGCAGTTCAAATTTGCCAAAGAGAAGCAGTAAAGTGCTTTTTATGTGTCATAAAGTCCATAGCAGCCTAATACTACTATGTCCTAAGGCCTGTCATTGATCTCTTCACATAGGTGTTTCATCCCACAGAATCACAGGACCAAGGGTGAGTACAGTATCATAAGATCAGTATATTGTTGTAATTGTTTTATTTTATTATTAGTCATTGTTGTTAATCTCTTACTGTGCCTAATTTCTAAATTAAACTTTATCATAGGTATGTATGGTATAGGAAAAAGCATAGTATGTAAAGGGTTTGTTACTATCTGAGGTTTCAGACATCCACCAGGAGTCTTGGAACAAATCCCCTGTGGATAAGCGGGGAGGAGGGGGGCTACTGTAGAACTTAGTCTTTTAAAAGAACCACATTCCAGGGAAAACAGAGGGTGGGGACCATTGCATCTGAGTTCCCTGGCTCATCAAAACTGCAGGTTTTCTTTCATACAAGCGCGACTTAAGATCACTTCCCATTGCCTGCAGGTTAGCAGTGCAGGGAGGTCCATCACTCAGGAAAAGGAGAGGAGAACTCAGGACACTAAGCATAGGGAAGGTGGACTTGAAGTGAGTAAACTTGAAAAAGGCCATATGCCGAGGGTGTGGTCACATACATTTAAAAAAGGCCTTGCAATCAGGAAGCAACTATCATTTTGTTGATGCCTGGACTTTCTCAAAGGACAATTATATAGAGCCGTCTTCTTATGGGGAGGGGGAACTTTTATTTGCTTCAGTAAGAAAGTGAAAAGAAGGAATCTAAGCACAGTGTAATTGTAAGCACAGTCGTGTGTGATCTTTACAATCTTGAGTTCAGTAACATGTTAAAACCTGACTTAGGACTGCTCTAGCCTCATCTCACCCCTATAGAAAGAATCCCTGAGAGGAAGGAGGGTCTTGTTTGCCTTTTCTCTCCAGGACTTCATTCAGGTGCTTGCTACCTAGTAGGGACATTAATTAAGTTCTTTTTGTGAACAAATGAGGTAGAGGATTACCAATAATCTTTTATATTTATACCAATAAATGATAGTTTTTTCGGTTAACTAGCTTCTATGAATCTTTTAATAGACACACACACACACACACACACACACACACACACCTTTTATAGACACAAAGCTGAGGAGCAGTGAGATTCAGTAAATAACTTCCCCAAGAACACATAGCTAGTCGATAACGCAACACACAAGCCTTTCTAACTCACTAGCTCATGATCATGGACTACTGTACTGAGAGCTTTATTTGGCTTGTTCTATTATTCATTCTCTTTCTACCTATTTTATTTTTAAAAGCTGCACTGAGGAAACAAGGTAGGTTTTCCCCCTTTAAATTAAGCCCCAAGGTCCTTGTGCTTGTTAAGAAGGAATCTCAGGGTAGCAGCCTGCATTTCCCATGGGAAGCCCAGGTCTGCTTTAGAGATTTGTTCTATAATTTGGAGACCTGGTAGAAGCTGACAGGGTAGTGAAAAGGGTACATACTTTATCTTGACATGAAAAGAAAGACCGTGAAGAGGTCAACTCCCCAAAACCCCTGGATGCCAACTGTGGGACAGAGCTAACAACTTCCAGAGGGAGTTGGGACGGCCTTTCCGCTCCAGATGGCTCCTTGCAGGATGGAGAGCCCAACAGTGGGGGGTGTGGAAGTGGCTGTCCTGGAGGCAGGAACAAGCCACAACAATGAGGGTCCCTTCCGACACCAACTGGGGCACACCATCCCTGAAAAAGAAGGATCCAAGCTACTGTCAGCTCACAGTGGGATGCTGTCTCTCACACTGCTCCGCTGGACTCACACAGGCACTCCTTTGATGTGAAGAATTGTGAATACAATAAACACAGTCTTGCATATGTTCATTCTTTGGCAAAAGTGTGTATACTGATCCCTAGCATTCTAAGGTGTGTCATGATAGTTAAACACTCAAGGTGAATGTTATTTTTTTTTTTTTTTACTTTATAAGAGAAGCTCCAACATGAGCTGCCAAAAATGTAACTTAACCAATTTTGGCTGTTTTCCTATTATGTATGTTATTTCCTCCACATTTTACATAAGGGATCATGCTTATAAAGTCTGCAGTAACACTGTAGCCATCATTTCTTGAACTTCTCATACAAAGAAGGAAAAACAAATATAAAACCCACAAAGTTGGTTTTACTTCACACACTACCATCTTCTGTTATCTATCTTCCTTATACCCAGAAAACTTAAGAGAAACACATTACTTTTCAAGAACATTTACTTTAATTTTCCTAAGATTATAATTATGGTAACATTCTGTTTTATCTTTTGTTGTATTACTAACCTCAAAGACCTTATACAATTGCTAAGAGGTAACATATTCAAAAGCCGCTATTTGACTTATCATTTCATTATTGCTAATTTGTCAAAAATGCTATAACATTATATTCTGTCAAAAGAGTTTTTAACACAAGTTATTTGCTCATGGAAATAACTTGTCCTACTTCAGAGCTAAACTCTTTCCTCAGGGAGGTTGAGTGACTTGCAGGTTGGCAGGTGTAGAGGGGACTATCAGCTCTACAGGCCCCAGACTCTTAGTCTATGGCTTTAATCATTGTGTTATCTTGTTTCTCCAAGGGGGGAAATCTAGTTCCCTTATTAGGAACCCATATAAGGCCTCTTTCCTCCCTATTTACGACTGCTTCCTATACAGCAAGCATGTCAAACTCATGGCCCGCAGGCCGCATGCCTCGTTTATTCGACTCCTGTTGTTAGCCTTTGAGTTTGACATGCTTGCTGTACAGCGATTTAAAACAGGAGGAGAAGAGGAATGAAATAATCTAGTGGAGGTGGGAATAGATGAGACCTGAAGGGGCTGGTCCTTGACCGATTTCTTCTTTTTGGGAATATCCCTCTGGTGGCTGCTCTGCAGCTGGAAGCACCATTTCTCTCAGAGTTGGCTCCTCTGGCTCCTCTAGAAGAAATGATAAGGGTCAGGAGAAGCCGAGAGGCCAAACAACCCACCTCCTAAAGGAAAGTGGGGATGTGACAAGAAAAGTTCATTTAATCTTCCAGAAAGTCCTCCTTGTAGCTAGAAATGACATAGAAAACAATCCTGAATGAAAACCATGGTCTATTTGTATCTGTAATTTGTAAGCAATTCTACATATGTATTCTTATGAAAGAGTAGAGAAAACATGAAAAATAAGTAAGCCCACATCAAGTCTAAGTTAAATAATTTTGGATTCTTAATAAGTAATTTAAGGAAGGTAAAGCTATTTGAAGTCAATATCAGTGACATTTTTGAAGTTGATTTCTATGTAATAATCATATCTTCCATGAATCTATCTTGATGTCACTCTCAGAAAAGTGTACTAAAATGGAGGAGCCATGAATCTAATTGAGTTGATCAATTTTATGTGTTTTTTTTTAACTAAATGGGCTTGTAAAAAACTTCAAAAATGAAAATTAAAATGTTCTCTGTAGAATGTTAGCATTTAGTATCATACCTGTTACTAAGCAAATTATTTGTAATTTGCTTCCTCCTTTGGCTTACCTTTCATATTTGTACACGAAGAATTTGAAGAACTGTATTATGCCTTGTTGCTCTTTTTTATGCCGTTGTGGCAAAATATCTGTCTGCAAAATTGTTTCAGCATGTCTTGAAGTTTTTTTGTTTTTTTTTTTCAACAAATGCCCCCATTTTGTATTTTATAGGCATTTTTCTAGAGGAAGATATTTTAGCATTAATAAAACTTTTCTTTAAGAAAGTATAACATGGTTGGGTTTGTATATAGTTATATGAAAATGGGCCTAGGGACCCCTGAATTCGCACTCAGAGCATTGTAGTATGTTTACCACAACCAATATGCTATCATTAAAGATGGGGACTTTTTAGAACCTCAGGGCCTACATCCAGAGACATGATTCTGGCTTCTAGGGGTGACCATTTGGTGGAAGACATGTTCTCTGGCAGGTGGTCCTTTGCCAGGATCCTTCATGATGGCTCCCATGCCAGCAACACTGACCCTGCCTACAAGGCAGTGCTAGGGAAAATCCTTATTAGGAAAAGGAACGATCATTTTTTACCAGCTGAGGAAACTAATACTTTTTATCCTTTATTCCCCTCTACCCATTATGGATAAACATGTTAAACCACTGTGTACAAAGGACATGCAGCTCAACTGTTTGCTAGAGGCATGCATTCCATCTGAGCATAGGTTAGGTGACGGGGCATCTTTCTTTCTTGAGAAAGTAAAGGGAGATAAAAAGCACTAGGCGCTTCTAATCCTGCCTGTTCCTATTCTAGCGAACAATCAAGTTGAATTCATTTCAGCGTCTGGCTTTACCTTTTCACGTTTTCTTCTGTTTTCAGTGAGAGCTGGTGTGCAGACCAGCCATAGTGCTTGTTTGTTCTTTTTAAATCGGAACAAATGTCTGCATTCCCACCAAAAGGCTTGTGTATTTTTACCGTTTCTCTTCCGAATGATCTGTCAAAACTCAGAAAGTCATGTAAATGTTCTATGGTCAGACCATCCCAGCTACTTCGAGAAGGCGGCACCACTTCACTCATTCACGATGCGTTTCCGCTCTACTTTTGCCGGAGTCTGTAGCATTTCCGCAGTGAAAACCCAGACAGCAATAGAGCTTCCGGCAGCATAGCAGTCTCTAGAGCTTTGTCCACTTCTAATCCTGCATTTCCCCCCTTTACATGAAAAAGTCAATCAATTTCCGTTTTCCAGTGCGAATGGGAACCATCAATCCTAGCCGAGGCTAGGTTTCAAGTTCATTTCGTGGTTCAACTTTCACACATGTTTTTACCTATGGGGTTTATTGACCTTGTTTATAATTAGCAACTTGTTTTATATGAACTTGATTATTAAGAATTCTACTCATAAACGTCTTGTTTCTTTACCTTGATAATAATGTGCTGGCTGACAACAGAGTGCATACTTCCTCTGTCAGTTTACCATAATCGTATACAATCTGCACCTTAAAGACTCAAATATTTAAGTTTCTAAATATCATCATGAACAAAATGTGACTTCCTTTAAATGTGATGAGGTGGAAAGAAGGAAGGGTTGGCAGCCAAGAGGCCTTGAATTGTGTCTCATTTTTGCCCCTGCCCTTTTTGGAAATGATAAGTCAAGGATTTCATTCTTCATCTACAGGGCAAAAATTCTAATGCTGTCTGACATCTCACAGGATGTGTGTGAGGATAAAAGGGGATGCAGGGTGTAAATGTCTCATAAATAGAAGCTCTTTGCCGGATCCTCACAGACCGTAAATGACTCTCGAGCTCTCGCACACTGTGGCCTCCGCATCAGCCTTTCCAGGCCCTCGTGCTCTGAGTGAGCAGAAGTCTACGTGGCAGTGCCTTGTTAGAAGCAACCCAACCCCGTGACTCTGGGAGTGCTACCACACCTCCCAAGCAAGGAAGCTCAGCAGGGCAGGTGCAGTTTGGTGCAATCTTGTGTCAGAAAGTGTGAAAAGGATTATGTAAGAGAAAACCAAAGGATGTCCTACACGGAGGCCTTGCCATCTTTTTCTAAACTTTCTCATTCTGAGGCAGTAAAAAGCATATAAATTTTCTGAAGAACCTTACATTTATAGATCTTTCGGTAAATATTTTTTAAAATCAAAAGGCATATACTTTTATTTTTATTTTATTTTATGCCCCCCACCCCCACTGATTTTTAGACAGAGTGGAAGGGAGGGGGAGAGACTGAGAGAAACATTGATGTGAGAGAGAGACATCAACTGGTTGCTTCCCGCACGCACCCTGGCTGGGAAAGAGAGAGAGAGAGAGAGAAAGAAACATTGTGACGGAGACATATCCATTAGTTGCCTCCAATATGCACCCTGACTCAGGTTGGGGATCAAACCTGCAAATGAGGTACATGCCCTTGACCAGGAATTGAACCCTTGACTCTCTGTTCTTTGGGCTGATGCTCCAACCACTAAGCAAAACAGGCCAGGGCTACACTTTTCTTTAGGTATAACTTTCCAGGGCAGATTCACTTCTATGCATAATTTAAAGCCTTGGGGTTTATAAAACAAAAATCTCGCATTTACCAACAGGAGCATGTTTTCCATGTTGAAAATGGATATTTGAAATTTTCCTTTACATATTGGTTATTTTTATATGTGGCACTAACTATATTGGAACCGCTGTATATACTTGATTATCTTATAATTTATTTAATTGATCTGAATCTAAATGGTTTGTATATAACAGTGTCAGAGATTTCCCTGCTTTATTTCTTGCATTCTATTTTCTCCTTTACCAAATGGGTCATTGCTTTGATGTAGCAGTGGTAATTAGTGAAGATCTAACTTACATACATCTTGTGTTTGCTTGCAGTCTGTTTATATTATGGTCACTTCTGGGCTTATCTCTCCTTTGATGCAAGAGACTCAATCATGTTTTCCTAAAACACATAATTACTTGAACATAGTAGTTGCTCAATAAATACCCATGGAAGGAATGAATTACTAACTGTACGATGTACTGTCCTGAAGACTGATTTTTCTAAATGATTTTTATAATATTTTCCTCTTAGCTATTTACCCAGCTCCTGGGCCTGCTCAGTGTGAATTCATGAGCAAATGATTTCATGTCTGTGGGTGTCAGTGTCCTCACCTGTAAAATGAAGATGCTGATATAGGAAATTACCATGTTTTCATAAAGTGATCCCTTTGTCTTTATCATCACTCAACTCAGTGCCAGATGCCTGCTTTGCATGCTGTTATTACTACATGGAATCTCTTACGTACATCAGCGTGCACACACAGCCATGTGGAATTAATGATATTCTCATTCTACCTGTATATAATTTCCCTAGGATTTCCTTATACTTCCAAAGTAGAAATTAGGTGGAAGCGGATGCGTGTGTGTGTGTGTGTGTGCACGTGCATGTGTGTGCATATACGAATGGAAACATGTTTCTAAAAATAGCACTCGTTATCTGTAGGTGGACTGATTGTTCTTATTTAACTGAAGAAAAGGAAATCAGTTCATTGCACCAGCGAAGGATGATTTGCAGAGCTCTGGAGAACTCTCCAACCATCTTCAAGTTAGGATGCTGAGACATGGGAGACCCACAGCATCTTGGAGAAGATAGTTGCAGAGAATAGGGAGGGAGCCTATCTACATCTTGGGGGGAAGGTATTCTTCAAAACATGTGATGAAAACAACAAGGAGATGACTTTCATTAGCTGAACCTAAATAATGGTACTAAGCAGGTGCAAGTGCCATAACTTTAACATTTCTGAAATGGAATATATAAGATTGTAGACAGAGTTTATTATTTCTCTGATGGTAGTTTGTTGCTCATGGAGTCCATGGTGATGTCGTACAGCACACCCTCCTGCCCACAGTGTGGTGGGAGGGAAGCATCCCTGGCAGCCGTGGCAGGATGCTTAGCCGGCAGTGTGAGTGCCAAGGCTCCGTGCTGCAGGGTTCCAGCTGTTCACGCTCAATCTTAGTCTTGGTTCAGGAAGGACCACCCCTCATCTGCTGCTTGCAGGATAAAAAGAACTGCTTACCATTGCTTAATGTAAAATAACCTATTTGTTTTTCTACATTGTGATTTATTGAAGAAGCAAGCAAACAAGAGACTCTGCCTTTCCAGAGGGAAATAAAGTGAATAGAGTTAGCAATTGAGGTAACTGTTATAATTTTAAAAAAAACCCACAACATCTCGATGAAGAATATCAATGGTCAGAGTTACAGAAAGTAGGTTATAAATATTGGGTATTGAGGACCGCTAGGAATATAATTGTGACATCTCCCTCTTGAAGGAGGCTGGGCACTGAGAAACGTGCTAGGCTTTTGGCAGAAAGTCGCTGGCTCAGTCACTGTGTGGTTTGGTCCCAGCTGCAGGTTGATTGATGGCACTGCATTGGAGAGCATCTTAGGGGAGCTGTTTACCCCCGTCTTCCATCTGGAGCTGCTGGGATATAGTTCACTGTGATGATGGCTACTGAATGAGCTGCACTGGCAGGATCTCCGCGACAAGGAAGGATGGTGGCTGGGGAGCCAGGCCAGAATCAAAGGATGTCAGGGAAATGAATGGAGTGAAGCACAAAACAGCCAACTCTTCTCAAACAGGATGGGGAGGCAGTTCAGAAAGAAAGATGGTGCACAGCTTCGAAAATGACAAAACGGGGAAATACTATGTTCCTTTGTTCTTTCACTTACAGAGGGTGCTTTCTAGAGATTTAGTTCTGATCAAGGAAACATGCTACTTATAATTGAAATATAATGACTTTGCTACATCTACCTATTGTGTAAAATACGTTTGACCACATTAGATTATAACCTCTTTTAGGGAAGGCATCCAATATTTATTTAGGCACATTAACAACCAATATAGGAAGTGCATACTTGACCCATAGCTTCCCTAGGAACCTGCAATTATTATGTATTAGGAAAATGACAAGAAGCAAGAGATATCTATCTATATCATCTCTCTCTCTCTCTCTCTCTCTCTCTCTCTCATCTCTTTCTCTTTCTC